CTGCTTCTGAGAGGCCTCATTCTTAGAGCCAAGGGGATGGCAGAACTGACCGAATCTACAGCTAGGGTCCTGTGCACCTTATTTGTATGATCCCATCCAATCACTTGGTGAGAATGACAGAAAAATGAATAGAAGACCATATAAAGCATTTCATTTTACCACAAGCACCCAAACCTAGTTTTCTCTCATGTAAAGAGGCAAACATCTTGGTATGCAGAAGCTACTAGCTCGAATTAACTTACCAGACCCACTGTCATTGAGTTAAGTCATGAGCCTGACCCCTAGCAACCCTTGACTGACAGCAGAGTCTGGATGTTTGAGGGGTAAGAGCACACAGGGTCAGTTGGGGGCTGGGGAGCACGGCCTCCAAGGTGTCTTGCACTTGTACGTTGTTGATGCGTGTCAGATTTGACTCGATCACGGGACTGGGTTTGATGCATACCTACCTATAGATGGATGAAATAATTAAGGGGAGTGGGTAAAATAAAGGAAAGGAGGTCTAAACCCTTGTTGGACTGTAGTGCGTATAGGTTGAGCATAGGAAAATCTAGGAAAGGAAACCCAACAGAGTGCGCAAATTATAGCACAATATTGATATCGCATGTAAGTAAAATTAATGGCTACTTGTTTTAAGACTCCAGACTTTATTCTTTCTCATAGAAAGGCAACATGTAGTTTTTTCACCACACTTTGCTAGCACCCATATTTCCAGTGATTCCTTCATGAGGATGAGCATCAAGCAGAGCCATAAGAACTAATTGGTCTTAGATTGGGGTTAGCATTAAGTGCCAGCCCAAAATTCATTTATATAGCTATGGTTTATATATGTCTCTGGTTCACTTTAAAAACCAGCCCCCACCCCCCCAAAAAAACACACAAAAAAACAACCTCACTGCCACCAAGTCAACTCTGACGTCATTTTCACTTCATGATTGAGAACATGGTAAATCATCTCCCTGGAGCATAAGGTAATTTAATGATAGTATCATTAATTTAGCCAGTGATACAGAATTTAAAATATTGTTGAGAAAAGGAAATTATGTAAGTATAGACCACTGTTTTAGACCGCAGTCCATGAGTTAGGGACTTACCCAGATTAAATTCTTAAGTGACTAGTCACTAGTTACACAAATAAGGGAGCCCAAACTTTCAATAACTCATTCACAAAGGCAGGGCCATGCTGACCGGACAAAGAATGCCGTACGAGAGCAAGGAGAGCATTAAGATAGTAAATAGGTGGTAGTCCTGGGCCACCCTTCATCGGGCATCCTCAAAACAAGAGATCCAATGGCTGACGTTCATATCATTTCAGTGGATTCACTGATATATCTCCAGGTGGGAGCCTTCCCTTTGGAACTAAGACGTCTAGACCCATATTGGGGTTGTGTGGACAGAAAACAAACATTTCCCAAGAGGATCACTCAGGGTGATATGAGAACCGCCACTTGCATCCTACCCCATGATTCCCAGACTCGTAATCCTGGCCCTGGGAGAAACTGTTCGATATACTGGATAGTGGTTTAGAGCAGTATCCTAGAGAGCATCGCCCAACCATGAAAGGTAGTGTCATCCAGCTGGGGCTGTGTCTTTAGAGGGCTATTTCTTTGCCCTTACAAGCTAGCCAGATGATGGGGAACATGTAAGATCAGTGAATTCCTGAGCGTGGGCCTATTGCTGCACTTCATTTGCTGTGAAGTAAGTTCTTTGATCCACGCAATGCTGTGTGGGATACCGTGATGGTAAGGCATTCTTTAAGTCCACAATGACAGTTTTGGCAAAAGCATTGTGTGCAGGGAAGACTGACCTTCGTATCCAGGATAAGTCACATTAAGAACAAAACACTACTCTTTCCAGATGGAAGGGGCCTCCTTGTAATCTATGTGCTACCAGGCTTCTAATTTCTTGAAGTAGATAGTATTGTACTAATTTTCAGTCTTGTTTTCCCTAATATAAACAATTAATATGAAAATGATCTCTCAGTATTGTTTAAACACCATCACAGTTTTCCACTTGCACTGAGTTCATAATTTCAAATGGTTTTAAATTCTAATGTAAAATTTGCTTGTTATTTTATTATTGAGATTTACTTTAATTATACACACACAGAGTCTTTATGTTACCAATCATTTGAAATAAGTGAAGCTTGCTTTTTGCAGCATTTTTTTGGTAGAAGCTCCTTATTGTAGTTAAAAAGACTATTTTGCTGTTGTTGAGTGCAGTGTCCCATACGTGACAAACATGTTCATTCAACTTTGCTTTCTTAGAGTAAGCCCCAAATGGTTACCTATTTCCTAATGCTAGATCTCGTTTTGTTAAATCTTCTACATTTTTGCCAATATCAATTGTCAGATCTGTTATTTACTGAGAAAGATATATTATCTGGTTAGGTGGTTTTGTCGTTTACCCTTGTTCTGGTACATTTTACTTTGGACACTGGACAGTTTCACATACAGATTTTTCTGACTTTTAAAATTATATTTGATGCCATTTGTCTTAAATATTTACCTGACTATTAGTATAGTTATACTTTCTTCTGGAAGTGTTTTCTGTTTTCATTCAAGATTTCTATATCCTTGCTGCCTATTTAACCAAGTATAACTGTGTTATGTTTTTTATCTAGTCTTTTAAGTAAAATATTTCATTTATAATCGTTATAATTATATATATTTGTTGCCTTATTTTTTGCTTTTTATTTGTCTTGCATTATTTTATTAAAAGATCATTTTATTGGGGGATCGATCTTACAGCTCTTATAACAAGCCATACATCAATTATTTCAAGCATATCTGTACATATGTTGCTATCATTATTTTCTAAACATTTACTTTATATTGAGCCCTTAGTACCAGCTCCTTTTTATTCCCTTCCCTCCTCACCCTCGTGCCCTTGATAAATTACTGTTATTTTCTTATCTTACACCAACCACTGTCACCCTTCACCCATAGTTTCTATTGTTCGTCCCCCTTCGGGAGGTGAGGGGGGGTATGTGTCCATCATTGCAATCGGTTCCCTCTTCCTCCCCTTCTCTTCCCACTTCCCCCCTACTCTTCTGGTATCGCCACTCCCATTCCTGTTCCTGGCTTCTGTGTCCTGAACTCTTTATCTCTTATCTGTACCTGTGCACATGCTCCGGTCTAGCCCGCATTGAAAGGCAAACCTGGGATCATGATGGGGGGGTGAGGAACTAGAGGAATATTGTATGTTTCATCTGTGCTATGCTGCACCCTGGTTGACTCCTCCCCTCCTTGTGACCCTTCTGTGAGGGGTCTACTACACATGGGTTTTGAGTCTCTGCTCCAACCCCCCTGGTTCTCAATATGTTTGGGGATTTTTTCATTTGTTCTTTTGCGTCCTCTGATGCCTGTTAGCCGATCCTGTCGACACCTCATGATCGCACAGGCTGGTGTTCTTCTTCCACGTGGGCTTGTTGCTTCTCTGCTAGGTGGCCGCTTGTTTTACTTGAAGTGTCTTGAATTTTAGTATTTCTCCTCTCTCTCCTTCTTTTGTATCTTTGTGTCTTGGTTACCTAGTGCCGCTATAATGGAAATACCAAAAGAATGTAGCTTTAAAACACAGTAATTTATCTTTTTATAATTGCGACTGGAAATGTGAATTCAGAGAAGACTTGTTTGCTTCACCATTTCAAGCTGTAGTTTGAGTCAGACAACATGCCTTGCTGCCCTGCTGGTGATGAGGCAGTGTTTTCTAGTTGACACGTACACTGAGGGCTTATCACGTTGAGGGTAGTTTTCTGATAAATTCTCCACCTGGGCTAGCTCTGAATATTGCCTGCAAGTCCTTCCCTCCTCAGTCCCAAGAAATCATGAAATGTCCTCCAGTTGAGCGCGGTCCTGAAGTTGAAAGCCACGTTAGTTTCTGAGTGTCTGCCTTCACTGGGATTTTGGCTAAAGTTCCTTGCTGTTGTGGTAACTCATGAATGCATTTATGAAAATGTGTACATTTCTTTACCATTTTTAGTTACTTATAGCAGAAGGATTAACGAAGGCCCTCCATTAGGTATTCTGCTAGAAAAGTCCTATAATCTTACTGTTTTAAAGTCTTATGATTATAGTATAATTTGTATATACAAGATTTACAAATTATCATTGTCATTTAGTGATGGGATACCAATAATTTATCTTTTTACCACATGCTGCTGATTCCCAGTGAAGAAGATGGATGAATAGATGGGAGGTGTGGAGCAGTAGTACTTCTAAAAGCAGGAAATAAGTAAATACCCTTCTTCTAGATTCTATATTGCTTAATGTTCCATTATGATCATGTAACGTAGTCCCCACTGAATCCAGAGTGGAGAATATGGCTACCTGAATGGGCAGGGTGGTTTTGATTTCTGGAAATGTTTATACAAGAGTCAGTTTTCATTCATTCTCCTACCAGGGCCAGTGTCAAGGTTGAATGGTTAAATAATTTGACACACCACCCCAATTTGAATCGCAGTCAGTGCATGCGATTAGTGAGTTGCATAATGATAAAAGGAAAGCCAGGTAGGCGAATCTTCCTGCAGTGTTGGGGAATTAGAATTAGGATGTGTTTTTACAGTTTAAGACATCTCGAAGGTTGATGTGGTCAGTTATGTGCCATTGCTAATGGAATGTCATGGCTTCCTTTTTAGAGGGCCCAAAGTTCCAGAAAGCATAAATATTCTAATTACAAATATTATAATAATAGCAATCTGATCTGGAAAACTTTGGAGCAAGAGGGTTTTGGAAATTTTATTTTTTAATGAAATGCTTTGAATATGTTCAATTATTTTTTTAACCAGATTCAAGGCTTCTGGGAATCTTGTCATCACCCGTGAGATTGATGTGACAAAAAACCAGTCCTTTTGGTACATCAACAAAAAGTCTACAACCCAGAGAGAAGTGGAAGAGCAGATTGCAGCTTTGAATATTCAAGTGGGCAATCTTTGTCAGTTTCTACCTCAGGTAGGAGAGAAAGAGTGTACCTTTGAAAACTTTGTTTATAATGTTTTCACATTTTGCCAAATGAATATAAATACTTTTCAAAGGGATTTATAAGTTTTACTATTTAAATTGAACATAGCATACTTACTAAGAGTTATTTGTTAAATGTAGCAACTTATCACTTTTATGTATTATAATTTTACTGCTTTGGCAAATTTCAGTTAATGAAAATTATAGATTATTTAAAAATAGATAGCTGTATTTTTAAGTAAAAGATTTTATGCTTCTATTTGTAGGCTCTTGGGGTTACAAAACATCATAACTCTGTAGATATGCATTATGAAATTGTTATGTTTTAAGTTGGTTAGTAAGAATTAAAAATTGTGATAATACATGTTGCATATCGCAGTCGAGTGGCTAAGTTTACCTTTCCGGGCTGTGCAGTCCCTGCTGCGTCCTTCGCCTTCTTTCTCTTGAGGAGCACAGCGGTGAATGGGCTCCGTACGCCCACGAGGTAAAAGTAGACTATGCTTGTCAGCTGTTACCAGTTATGTCTGTAAGAACGAGCGTTATATTGCCTTAAATTCTTTTTTCACCTATTACATTCTAATTGATTTATTGTAGATTTATTTAAAAAAAGAAAACATTTCAATCCATGGAACTATTTTTTTTCTTTCTCTAAAACAATTTACAATATGTTTGTAAACATTTCAACTTGAAAATATCGATATTGAAAACTTTTGAACTGACCTCAGAAAGACCATATGGTTTGTTTTTATTACTTTAAAGACTAATATAGGAAGGTTCAAGGGTTTATATTACGATTTACCTGTCAATTTGACATACATAATCAATGGAAATATTCTAAGGTATTTAATAAATGACTGTAGTTGCTGATCATTTTGGTTTTGTGCTATAGGACAAAGTGGGGGAATTTGCTAAACTCAGCAAAATTGAACTCCTTGAAGCTACTGAGAAATCCATTGGTCCTCCAGAAATGCATAAGTATCACTGTGAACTCAAAAACTTCAGGGAGAAAGAAAAACAACTAGAGGTACATACAAATAAATAATCACTTTGTAATTGTCCTTACAAATGTGGAAGTGGACGAGATTATAGCTCCAAGCGATTGAGTGAATATATATTCTTGTAATTTTTCTTCACCCAAGATTGTATTATTACTCTTAATTAAAATAATTGACAAATATATGAAAGCGGAAGGTTGGAGATTTTGACACTCATGTTATACATGGAATTTCTAAGGAACTAAGAGCAGTATCATAAAATTTTTCCTTTGCTCTCAGAAAGTCGCTGTGGTATTTTATCATTCAGTGTTTATTCAGCCGCTACCATGTGAGTCGGAATTGGCTGGATGGCAGTGGATTTGTTTTGTTCGTGAAAGGCATTGAGGAATACAGCAGTGATTCATCTTTTAATGCAGAGCCTCTAGAGGGGCATCTCTTACGTAGTTTATTAGTAGCATGAGGGTAGTAGACTTTGTAAGAGAAGTGCAAATTCAATGTTAGTGTTATCTTTATCTTCACCTTTAATAAACTGAAAAATAAAGATGCCCTTTTAGTGCACTACCTGAAAAGATTTGTTTTGTTTTCAATGTCATGGATCCTTTCTCCATGTCCCACTGGTGAAAATAAGTTTGGTAAATTTTTAGAAATCTGCTTTCTTTTTATAACTATGTCTGTTCTTGATATGTTAACATTCAGTTTTATGGTATTTACTCAAAGTGAATGACCAGGGGAGTGTTCTGAACGTTTTACTGTTATTTTATCTTGCCTCAGATATTCCTTCAGCCCTGTTTGTTGTTTTTAGGTACCGTCGTGATGACTCTTGCTCATAACAATTCTGTGACAGAGTAGAACTGCCCCACAGGGCTTCCTAGGCCGTTATCTTTACGGAAACAACAGAGCGCCAGTCTCTCTCCCATGGAGCTGCCGAGGGAAACCTGTTTAGTAGACAGTCAGGTGCACAAGAGTTGTGCCAACCGGGGCTCCGCCCTTCAGTCCTCACACCCTTAATCTAATACTCTGTCTGAAACACTGACTGTAACTACATACCATGCTCTGAAAGAAAACAGGTATCTATCTTAGCGTCCCACAGCATCTGTGTTTACTTACAATGTACAACCTGACTTTTACCTTGCATCTCATTTCTGAGTCCGTAAGTCACGAGTGTGCATAGCATACATCTTATAGCAGGTTCCAGTACTGCATCTGCTTGTGTTGAAACGTCTTAACTGGTATTCCAGGCTCCATAAACTGATGGTGGGTCCACTGAGGCGTTTCAGGAAATGCCTGCTGCTCTGGTGGTCCTCACCCATTTGTGCCAAGGAATTTGGAAGACAGCTCCTTGGCCAACTGACTGGGAGAAATCCTGTGTTTACCTGCTTCCAAAATGATTCAACAGAGTGCCGGAAATATTGAGCATTATCACACAGAAGTAAATTTTGCTAAAGATAATTCCAAAAGGGTTGCAGCAGTGCACTGATAGGCAACTGTCAGGAATTCCTGTTGGATTTAGAAGAGTCTGTGGAATGAGGGTAAGCTGTAGAGAATAGGAATCCCAGAAGACTAAATTGTGTTGGTGTGGAGCCTGTACATACAGCAAAGGCAGTTCACACAGAAGAAGGGATGCTGGCGGATTCAGAGTCAGGGAAGGGTCCATCAGGAATGTGTCCTCTTGTCGTATTTAGTGAGTTTGTATGCTACAAAACCACCTGAGAAGATGGACAGCATGAAGAAGAACGTGGCGTCAACACATCAATAACCTGTGATGTGCAGAGGGTGCTGCACTGGCTCAGCTGCTGACCAAACGGGCAGCAGTTGTAGGCCACCGGCTTCTCGGTGGGAGAAAAGTGAGGCGGTGCTGCAGTAAAGATTTACAGCCCTAGAAACGCTCTGGGGAAGTTTGACTCTCCTACAGGATTGCGATGAGTTGGAATGTCCTGGAAGGCAGAAAGGTTTTGATAGTGACATGCACGGGACATTTTCTCACAGCAGGGGGTGTCTCGGACAATAACTCAAGGAGCCACCAAAAGAGGGTATGAAAACCTCAGCAAGAGAAGGGGCGAGGGGGTCCTGCACCAAGGTGGGCATCTGTGGATCAAAGAGCTCTGAAAGATAGACGCGGCTGGGGTTCTTATATTCCAGAGTTTTCTTTTAAGGATGCAGCCATTCAGACAGGAAAAGGGAATGCTGACTGGTTTAGAATCAGGAAAGGTATGTATCAGGGCAGTATCATTGCCATCCATCATTGTATTTATCATCAGCAGCAGCAGCATCTTCCTCATCATCAGCTACCTTGCTGAATTCTAAACTTCTTAAGGGGCTGTGTTAGGGTTGAATTGTGTGTACCCCAAAACACGTACTGTGAGTCCTAACCGCTGTGCTCTTGGTCGTGGCCCATTTAAGACTGCATTGTCTTTGTTGTGGTTAGCAGACAGGACTCGAACCGGCTGTCTTTTGAGTCTTTTGATAAAAGGGGTAAAACAGGTAAGCAGAGCAAAGGTGCTGTAAGATAGATACCAAGACCCACAGCTCTCCAAGGAACCAGGGATCCGACACTGAAGTAGCAAAGATCATTTTCCCGAACTGACCAGGAGACGAAGTCTTACCCAGTAGCCAGTGCTCAAAACTCAGACGTGGTCGCCTTTAAACTGCGAGGAAATACATTTCTATTATGACGCCATCCGCTCATGGTACTTGTACCGCAGCACAAGATAACTCAGACGCATGTTACAGCTACACAGCTCTGAGGAGCTTGTAGGGAATGCCGTGTGGTGTGATTATCTGGCTTTGTGTTTTCAGTTGTTAAATGATTGGATCTTTTTGTCTTTTTCCACTTAAACTAATTGTTCAACAATTATTTATTTAGACCTCATGCAAAGAAAAAAATGAATATCTAGAGAAAATGATTCAGAGGAATGAAAGATACAAGCAAGATGTGGAAAGATTCTATGAACGTAAACGGCACTTAGATTTAATTGAGATGCTTGAAGCTAAAAGGCCATGGGTGGTAAGTCCTAACTGTTACAGACAAAAGCTAGAGCAGAAATGGGTCATTCTTTAAGTAGGACGGGCATTGTAAATGACGCGCTGATTCCTGTGTGCTCGTTGGGTGCTTTTATTGGTTCTTGCTTTGGCCTTCATCTGCGTTGTGCTGTCACCCCGTCGGTGCCAGCTCTCAGCAGCGCAGAGGACAAAGCAGCACTGCTCTGCGGTGGTGCCTGTGCTGACGTCTTCGTAGACGCAGACTGGCAGGCCCTTCCTGCCACAGAGCCCTTGTGGGTACACGTGCTAGCCTTTCAGTTAACAGCTGACTGCTGACCTTGTGCTACCACGGTTCCCGTCTAATAATTCATAATAAAATTTACCTGTTTCTTTATTTCTATTCTAGAGCTATATGCTGTGGTGCTGGTGGGAAAGCATTGGACTGCTAACCATAGCAGTTCAAACCCACCAGCCACTCTGAGGGAGAAATAATGAGGTTCCCTATCTCTATGCGTTCACTCTGAGTTGGCATTTACTTCATGGCAGTAGATAATAGTGGTGTCAGTAGGTTATTTTATAGCAAATGATAGTTGATTTTAAGTTGGTCTCCAACAGATAATTCTTTGGAGTTCTTAAAATGTTGATTTAAAAATGTTTACAGGTAAAAAAAAAAAAATGTTTTCATGCCTTCCCTCAGTTACATCCGTGAGGATGTATTTGGAGTGTGCTTTCAATAGCAACCTCCGCTACAGACGTGGCTGAAGTATCTTAGCTGCAGTCTACTACTGCTTAGGGTGCCTCAATCTGTTGAGGCTGCTGCCTGCTTTTCAATGTGTGTGATGTGTGTTTTATTATTTCAGACCACAGTTTGGGCTACAGAATATAAAAATAATATATATTATATATATAAGAAGAATAATCCCATTATTCTTAGAATTCTTTTCTTAGCTCCTTTTGAGGACGGTTTTTCCTTCCTTCCTGGTCGGTCATTGCTCTTGCAACTCGTACTGTCTTCAGAAGTGCTCTGTTTTCCTTTTGCTCTCCGCTTGTTTGTCGTCTTTTTGTTTGTACCTTTCTTTTTCATTTTCGTGACATGACCAGTTTCACTTTCTCCTAGTAAGCCGCATGCTGCCTTTTGTTTTCTTTTGACCTGTGTGTGTGTGTGCGCGCGCGCGCACACGTTTTTCGTTTTCATAGCTGAGGGGCTTTTTTGTTGTTTTCCTCTGTGAAATCCGGTACCCCTTCTTTACTGAGGAATTAGAAGAAAATCTCATTTTAACATAATTCAGATACTCATTTCAGAAGGAGCAGGGAAGTTAGAATTTGGTCTTGTGATGAAGCTAAATGCTTACTGAGTATTAAGACTGACTAAATCATTCTATCTCTATTTCCTATTTCTGAGATTATTTCAGAGGACAAGATTTTACTAGTAAACCTGCCAAAGGTACATTAAAGCAGTATTTTATTAGGTTTTGTTTGTGACTATACTTTGATCTTAGTATATGGTTTAGTGCAGGCTAGTAGAACATTAAGTTCTATTTCTGAATTGTTTGCAAGGAATATGAAAATGTTCGTCAAGAATATGAAGAGGTAAAATTGGCTCGTGACCAAGCAAAAGAAGAGGTCAGAAAACTTAAAGAAGGACAAATTCCTGTAACACGGCGAATTGAAGAAATTGAAGGACAGCGTCACATTTTGGAAGTCCGAATCAAAGAGAAGGTGCTTTTACTCCGTTTTAGATTCTTTGTATTTTATCTTTGCAAATATATATATATTTTTAAAGCTTTTTTCGGGTCTTTTAGACTATTTTCAGTTTTACTGTCAGCCATTAGACCACCGCAGGAACTCTGGTGACATAGTGGGTTACATGTTGGGTTGTTTAAATCCACACCCACTGCAGGGAGAAAGATGGGGGCAGTTCTGCTCTGCCCTGCGAGTTAGAATCAACTCCATGGCAGTGTGTTTTCGGTACCACTGTTGGAGTGTTGTTATCTTAAAGATATAGGATACAAAAACAAGAAAAGTGAACCCTACTACTTTTCATTACAAGAAGATTCACAGTGTGAATTTATCTTGTTTGCTTTGTCGTTACACACCCTTTGAGTGGAGGATAATGTAGACAACCCGATGTTTCTTAGAATAATATGGTAGAATATTCTTTCTATTGAAATTATAACTACAGTTCTTATGGTTCTGATTTTTAACTTCTAGGACAGATTTTGGAATCACAGACGATTTTGAGACGGTTTAAACGGTGGGTCTTGCTTCTAGTGTGATGCATTTGGGAGGACTCACTAATGCACCAACGTCAAATCCTCAGCCCTTGATTGAGAACCTCTTACAGCCATTTGTCTGCACAAATAAATAGCGTACTTTCTTAATGACATTAATTCTATGAGAAGGTTAGTTTTAGAAAACCGGGAAGTGTTGACTATATACCCCTCCTGGGCCGTCGTTCGAAGTGCTTTTTCATCACTCGCAGAGGGAGATGCCTGCCAGCACTTGCATTGGGAAAAGAATGATGGTGTCATACTTACCTTCCTTCCTTTAAGGTCATTTAGTTAGAAAGTGAAACATTTTTCATCCAGATTTACCTGACTGGAAAAGAGATGACTAATTTTTGCAGCATTATTATTATTGTTTTAATTGTACTTTGCTATAGTGAAAACATGTTAGTCCAGTTCCTTTGCTACTGACTTTTAGATTTTCAGTGGTAAAGGATTATTTACTTCGCAAGTTTTGACAAATAATAGTTTAATTTTTTAAGCAGTTTTGTGGAGTTGTTTCATCTATAGAGGTGATTATGCTTTTTCTTTTCAAGCAACATGTAGATTTTCAGAAATAAGTCATTTCTTGAGCCAGATAGCATCAGCTATTTGTTTAATATGCCTGAAGAGCCACTACCTAGTGAGTGAGAAAGGCCATATCCCAGACTATGACGTCTTTAACAGAGCGAGGGTCAGCATTTTGACTTTGGGGTGTCACGTTAGGAAGGCTCCACTAGAACTGAATTCTAATGTGGGAGGAGTTCAGTATGTGCAAATTATTACAAGTCTAGGAGGTGAAACTGATGCTAAGAGCAGATACAAGTTTTAGTTAAGACTTCATTTGATCTGATTTTAAATACCTGTTACTATTAATTATCTTAAACTTCGAATCAGGAAGAGATTGTGGAGCATTTGTAGACACGCCCCTTAATTTCATATAACTGAGGATACCTAATCCCAAGGATGGGATGACTTCCTCACGATTGTATTGCTGATCGCCGTCTTGATAACAGTGAGTGCTGGTAGTTCAGTGGTGGATTTGTAATTGCTTTTTTCAACCCTTCCCTGCATTTTCTGTATTGCTGCTATATTACCTTTAAGGTAGAGAATAATAAAATTTAAATCTCCATATTTCTCTTAATTAAAGAATGGTATTAAAAACCCTTTCCTGCTTCTCTGTTCTTAATGGAAGCCTGGCAACTGCAGGTAGCAATGTCAAATGGCCATGAGCCTCGTCTGTTTGATGTGAGCGTCTGCATCCCTGAAGAGAGTCGTGCATTATATCGGTCTATGTGTGAAAAAAAGTGTGGGCACTTATAACCATGCAGCAAGGAACCAAATTGTCCACTGTTCTTGTTCTTTTATTCCAACAGAAGACTCTTTCCAATACTTGGAACTTTGTAGCATAGCCTTCAGATCTCCTCATCTGTATTTTAAGTCCCTGTTCTGCCAGTTACTTACTTCCTGACCTCCACTCACTGTTTTCACCCTCCTGTTAGTAAGGTGACGGGGATAATATTTTGTCTTCCATGATTAATGTGTGTGATTTTACACAGGCATCCAGTAAGCATAGTGTCTACCTTATACTTAGAGAAAGGATCTCTCCACAGGGAAGAGCCCTACCTCTGTCTTTTACTTACTTCCCTTTGCACCTGGTGTTTGGGGATTTTCTCGGAGGATTCAAAGGACTCTGAATTGTTGTACTCGTAGCTAAGCTTCATTACAGCAAAATGGTAACGGGCACAATCAGTAAAGGGAAAAGGCGCAAGCGCTCTCCCGGTGCAGTTACACAAAACCAAACCAAACGCACTGCCATCCAGGTGATTGTGACACATAACAGCCCTATACAGGGTCTTCCAGACTAAATCTGTACAGAAGCAGGGAGCAGCAGGTGAGTTTGAAGCACTGCTTATCAGCCAAACCCCTAACCTGCAATGCCAGGGGGCTTCTAGAGTTACACAGTATACTTACTTCGCCTTCTCAAATCATGACAACATATGTGAACTGTTTGCCAGGGAAATTCAGTGCTGAAGTTGTTAATAGGGATTAGTCACCTAACCACTCTGCCAAGCACATACTACAATTCCAGACTCCAAGAAAGAAAGAAGGTGCTTAACATGAGCCACATCGTACGCAACATTTAGGCACAGTGAACCGCAATTGTTTAGGGACACGCTTGGGATCACTCCCCAAAGCCAAGTTTCCAGACAACAGCCAGAGGCCAACCTTAAAAAAGCCTGCAATAACCCTTTTCTGCACTGCCTTATTCTCTACTTCAATTGGATTACAGTAGTAATGTGTAATTCAGATGTTTTGTGTGATGATGAAAAATATCTCAGAAATGCCGTGTTCCACAGCCCTGGAATTAAAATAGTCGTTTTTGAGCATTTGTGCTAGTAGATTTTAGCTATGTATGCAGGAGTCTCCAAGATGTGCTTTCTCTGTTCTCACTGCTCGTTGATTTTTCTGAGAAGCAAAATGTGAAAGTAAATGTAAGAGCTATTAGAAGCACATGCATATTAGTGCAGCTACTTTTAATATTCATAGGAACAGCTTTTTATAGCTTTACAAATAACTTGGTTCTTTATGGTAGTCATGAATTTGGGTCTAAGGAAATGCTAGAACACATTATTGTGGGGTTAGCTCGTACAATAATGTACTGTTGGGTGGGACCACGATTGACTTGCTTACGGGTTTGCTTGCCTTTTCCCCCTTCTGCTTCAATCTTACAGGCAGTGGATATTAAGGAGGCCTCTCAAAAATGCAAACAAAAGCAAGATGTTTTAGAGAGGAAAGATAAACATGTAAGTTTATGTTGAAATGTTGATTGTGTAATTTTTCAGCCTTAACTTTTCAGGTCTGGGTTATGGACCAGCTTCTTGGGTGGGAGACCCACTGATAGTACTTTGCTTCACTTCTACTACTGCTTCAAAGATCCCTCTTCCGTTTAGCCATGGGAGAGAGGACCAAAACTGACCAGTTACACGTGCCCTGTGTGCATAGCCCTGCCCAGTCATTCGGTGGGAGTTACATGGTAGAACAGGCATGTTAAGAAATTCCACTCAGCCACCCCTTCCCAGTCCGTCGTAGTTTGGAGACTCCTATGAAGCGTGTCTGCTGTGGATGTTCCTGCTGGGATCTGAAATACCAGTGGCATCGTTTCAGCATCGCAGCAACACACAAGTCACCGAAGTGTGGCCGACTGATCAATGCGTGGTGGCTTCCCAATCGGGGCTGAAAGTCTGAATTCAGGGTACCATCTGTAGGGTCAGGAAGACTTTTCCTTCTAAGGGTAAATCCTTCCCAGCTCCTCCAGTGTTCTTGGTGTTCCACGGACAATCTTGGATAATTTCCCCTCTTGCTTCTCCCTAATCTGTTCTTTTTAAATCTCAAAAATCGTTGGGTTCAACACACACCCTATGATGATAATAAGCGAATTAACCCCATATCCAAATGGGATTGCATCTGTAGGTTGAGGGGTTAGAATTCCAACATAGTACTTTTGAGGACACATGTCAACCCCTAATAGGTAACTAACTTTTATCTGGTTATCATTTGATATTTTATATTGAAATTTTGATTGTGTAATTTTTTAGCCTTGTGTTCATATGTAGTGCTCTCTCTGTCTTTCACTTTAAGATTGTGTAATCTTCATTTTAATGTTTTTACTTAAGGTTAGTATTTAAAGGAGTAGATACCTTTAGTGAGAAAAAATGGTCATGTTCTTAGGTTATTGTTTGCATTTTAAAAAATATGTTTTGAAGATGTACAGATGTAAGCCAGAAGGAAGCGCAATTTCAAATGCTAAGCGACTGGTGTTTTTATTAGATCGAGGAACTGCAGCAAGCCTTAACAGTAAAGCAAAATGAGGAGCACGACCGGCAGAGGAGAATAAGCAACACCCGCAAAATGATCGAAGATTTGCAGAATGAACTGAAGGCCACAGAGAGCTGTGAGAGCCTGCAGCCCCAGATTGATAGCATCGCCGACGAGCTGAGGCGGGTCCAAGATGAAAAGGCGTCATGTGAAGGCGAGATCGTGGATAAACGCAGAGAGAGGGAGATGCTGGAGAAGGAGAAGAAGAGTAAGCTTTATTACTAAATTTAGGGTAAAGAGATGCTTATAAGATGGAGCTAGAGCTCTAATGGACATCATTCTTGCCCCAGTATCATTTCTTTAAAGCGTTCAAATCTCCTTGTGGAGGAAGCGTGGGGTAGTTATTCCAGTCCAATCCTTAGTCACCCGCATCTGTTGTGTGCTATGATTTGGTAGTGACTGGCATCACTACTTCTGTCAGATTACTGCAGTTGATTTCATTAAAATAGTTAGCTTTACTCTTCCTTACACAGTCACACACTATTTCTCAAATCAAATTGAAGATACTTGCTCTAGCCCTCATAGCTTTCCACCCATGTTCCTTCATAACCTATCCAGTTTCTTCTTTGCTTTTTTGTCCCATAGCCTAGATGGATTGGTCTGTAACCTTATTCTGATAGAAGAGATCTTATACTATATTCTGTCAGCGGAAGATACAGGACTAAAATCTGTAACAGTAGCCCTGATGGTGGCACAGTGGTTAAACTCCTGAATGCTAATCCAAAGTTCAGTGGTTCAAGCCCACCAACTGACTCCTTCAAAACGTTTATCAAAGTACTACTTGAATATGGGTTGTTTATATGTTGATTTTTGTTTTGTTTTTTAAAAGTGGGAAGCGGAAAAAACTAATAACCTTTTTCCCACCTCGACTCCAATTAAAGAATAACTACTTTTAACTGTCGAAGTATTTTCCAATAGTTGTCACATGTTTTTACATTGTATTTTACTTTTATTCAGTTTATCAATTTTAGACATTGCATTTTAATATCTAGCTAACCCTAGATGTGGACTTTTCTACTTATAACATGTCTCCTGTATATTTTAATCCCTCAAGTGGGATAATTGTATTAATAATGATGAATACTGAGACTGATTTGTTACAAGTCATAGACTCTTGGGTGTTAAACACTGCTTAGGATCACTTGATGGCACCTTTGTAATCTCAAAATACTGGCATTTGATCTTCCCTTTTCATTTTCCTTCTCATATTCTAAATTCTCTACTTCCACTTTATAGTTTTTGAAGTTGCAAACCTGTTTGTTTTAAATTAACTTAAAAGTCAATTAAATTGTATGTGCTATGTTTATGGGTTCGTTTTAAAATCCAGAAGTCCTAAGTATTGCTTCTGTTATTGCAACAATGAAGTATCCTCATGGCATACTTGGTAGTGCGTTAGGATTTTTTCCCTTTCATTGACAACTTTGTAAGGTTTTAATTGACCTCTTTATTTTTACACCGTCTTCTTTAGCATTTTCTTACATTGGAAATAAACCGTTGATCTAGTCAGACATTCCCTGGCATTCTGGCGTGTGCCCTCCACCCTCGTCCTTCTCCTGGCCTCCTGCATGGTTGCTGTCTGGATTTCCTCTCCAGGCCCATCGTGTGGCCTGTGTAGTAATACCTAGTTCCATGGTCCGTGTTTTACATTCTTTCCTCTCGTACGAGATTATATCTTCAGGTAAAATCCCGTGAAGGGTTGTTTGGGAATTCATCGCAGAGGCTTTGCATCCCTGGAGGTAGTTTTTATTGCATTATCCTGTTAGTCTTCATTTTGTTGTAGGTTGAAAGTAATGATCAGAATTTTGAAAGCTGATTGTTGTGTTCAGATTGGAAATCTAGAATAGATTTGTAAGTGACTAATTTAAGGATTTTTTTATACTCTATGTATTTGACGACTTTAACGTGATTCGTTTAAGTTGGATCTTTTTCCGCTCAGTGATTGAGCCTGGGTACTTGCTGAGCGATCGTTTTACTCTTCAGATCTAGAGTATTGTTCTGTAGTTTTAATCGACTAATTCACTAAGGTTTTCAAAAAGCAGTGCTTTGTTCTATTTCCCAACTGTAGGTGTGCATGAACATATGGTTCGTTTTGACAATCTTATGAATCAAAAAGAAGATAAACTGCGACAGAGATACCGTGACACGTATGAGGCTGTTTTATGGCTACGAAGCAACAGAGATAAATTTAAGCAAAGAGTCTGTGAGCCTATGATGCTCATGGTAAGGAAGTTTGCTCATCTTGGTAGCATTGGTTGGTTTTATGATTGTTTTGAGTTTTGTTATAATGATGTATTAGTCCTGATAACTCCCTAGTGTCCCTGGTGGTGCTAATTGAAAGGTTGGCAGTTCGAACCAGTAGCTGCTCTGCTGGGAAAGAATGTGGCAGTCTACTTCTTTCAAGGTCACGGCCCTGGACACCCAGGGGACAGTTGTACTATGAGTTGGAATCAACTCTGCAGTAGTGAGTTTGATTTCAAAAGGTTATTAACTCCCTGGTCTTTCCCTTATCACATTTGGAGTATCTGGTGTGCTGCTAAATCCATACATGGACTTTTTTTACGTGCCTCTGATGGCTGACGTAGTAACAATCGCAAAACATCTTTTAAAAGATGTGAAAGGTTCAGCTTATAAAAAGAAGTCTAAAACTAGCAATTTATGAAGAACCATGTACAAAATTAGCATTGTGATTTGGATCCTTTGGGACATTGCTGTTCTTTGAAGGGGTAAAGAACTACTGTAAATGCATTATGTTGACAAGGAGCACTTGATGGGAGTAGACAGGAGAGTCACCTGCTGCCCAAATGGGGCGTTCTCAAGATGCTGGTTCCCTCTTGACAGCATGCACGTCACATAGTTGTATAGTTTTTCATCTTTAGGTAATAAATGATTTCATAAACTGGCCATGAGTTTCCTAGGAAGAGTTCCATATTAAACATTTAAAGTAATAATTATTGCCACTTAAAAGTATGAAAAGCAAAACAAAAAAAGCTACTTCCCTTTGTAAGGTTACAGTAGGTGCAGGTGTTGCAAAGCCACATCTATGTGTAGGTGTAGGTATACATAATGCAAGCTTTACATTTATTGAAAAGTGTTATAAGGATGATTTTTGCCAGATATTTCTTTTCCTTAATTAGAGAATTACTTATGTAAGCAGTTTCAAAAAGATTGTGAGAAAACGGAGTTAGAAGATAATTGAAGTTTTCCAAGAACTTCTTGAAGCCCCCCACTCTGGATTTTAAATGAAACACTTCCTGCAGCCTTCATGAAAAATTCTATGTTGTGTCTCACATGTTCATGTTATACTCTATGGAAGTAATTGTACCTTTCGAGTGTTGTTGCAATGTATATATAAGCAGAATTAATACATAAAGTTGTTGTGACACTTTCTGGTTTCTTGATGTTTTTGTGGGAAAATGGAAAGATGGAATTTCTTGCTCCACACGTTTGCATGTTTTTACATTTTTAATTACTCTTGAATATCTGATGTGACAATATATTCTTCTATTTTACCTTTCCTAGCCTCACCTTTTGTAAACTCCCCTTTAACTGTCACACACACACACACACACACACACACACACACACACCCCTAACTCTTCAGTGGCTTCTTGAAAAGCAGTCTTAACCCATAAACAATCTATCATTCTTGTGATAACAACGGAAACAACCAACCTAGAGCAACATGGTGCACAACACAACAGAACTACCTGCTCCTGCGCCATTCTCAGAATTGCTCTTAATGTTTGAGCCCATTGTGGCAGCCACTGTGTCCGTCCGTCCGTCTTGTCAAGGACCTTCTTTTATTTCACTGCCCATCTATTACCAAGCTTGATGCTCTTTGCCGGGTCTGACCTCTCTTGATAATGTCCAAAGTCGATGAGACAAAGACTCACCATCCTTGTTTCTAAGGAGCATTCTGGCTGTACTTTTACTGAGACAGATTTGTTCTTTTGGCAGTCCATGGTACTTTCTGTGTTCTCTGCCAGCACCATAATTCAGTCAATTCATAATACATCTATTCTTCTTGGCGCTTACTTATTCAATGTCCTTGAACAAAATCATGGCTTGGGTCAGGCACACCTTAGTCCTCTAAGTAACATCCTTGTTTTTCAATACTTTAAAGAAGTCTTGTGCAGTAAATTGACTTAATGCAGTGCTTTGTTTGAGGTCTTCATTGGTGCTTTTATTAGCACTGATTGTGTTTCCAAGCCAGACAAAATCTCTGCCAACTTTAATCTTTTCTCCACTTAACATGATATTGCCAATTGCCCTCGTTGTGAGGACTCTGGTTCTCTTCACATTTGATTAGAATCAGCAAGGGCTTCACGTCCTCCTCACTTTCAGCAAGTAAGCTTGTGTCGTTTATATACTGCAGTTTGTTAATAAGACTTCCTCCAATCTTGATGCCATGTTCTTCATATAAACCAGCTTCTCTGATGATTTGCTCAGCATACAGATTGAATAAGAATGATGAGAGAACGCACCCCTGACACACACCTTTCTTGAGTTTAAACCATGCAGTCTGCCCATGTTCTATTCGTAAAACTAAATCCATGTACAAGCACCTCGTGAGCACAATGAAGTGTTCTTGAACTCCCATTTGTTTCAAAGTTATCCATAGTTTATTATGATCCACACAGTCAAATGCCTTGGACTCTCAATAAAACCCAAGTAAATGTCTTTCAGGTCTTCCCTGCTTTGAGCCAAGATCCACCTGACATCAGCAGTGATATCTTTTGTTCCACATCATTTTCTGAATCCAGCCTGAACCCTGGCAGCTAGCTCCCTGTCAGCAGTATACGCTGCAACCGTTGTTGGATGATCTTCAGCAAAATTTTACTTAATGATACTGTTCTATAATTTGAGTGTTTTGTTGGGCCGCAGTGGAATCGTTACAAATCTGGATCTCTTCTACTCAGTTGGCCAGGTAGCTGTGTTCCAAGTCTTCTGGCATAGACAAGCGAGTGCTTCCAGTGCTTCATCAGCCTGTTGACACATCCCTAATGTATTCCGTCAATTCCTGGATCCTTGGTTTTGGCTAATGCTTTTCAGGGTAGCTTAAATTTCTTTCTAAAGTACCATTGGTTGTTAATCCCATGCTATCTCTTGAAACAGTTGGATGTAGACTACTTCTTTTCGGTACAGTGACTCTGTAGTCTTTCCATCTTCCTTTGATTCTGCCTGTGTCGTTCAATACTTTGATGCTAGAGTGTTTCTCTTTTTTTATTTCCAGTCATGTCGAGCAGAATTGGACAATTGCTACCACAATCGGGTCTTTTTTTTTCCTGGACTCCGTGACATTGTCTCCCTTTTTCTCCCCACCCCCTTCAACACACACACACACACACACACACACACACACCCTAAACCCTTAATCTACTTGCTGTCCCTGTAGGTTCATCATATACCAAACCACAAGAAAAACATAACACAACTTCATGAGGGTGACCTCCAATGGCATGACACCTCTGAAATACACCCTAATGTGAACAAGCAAAACTACAGAAAATGTTGAAAACCAGATCAGATCCAACATGCAGCAGAAGGGGGATCGACTGACACAGTTTTAACCGTTCAAGTCAGTTTTATGCATTTGGTCTTTAATATTGCAACTCGAGGCTTGAATTATTTCTTGAGTTCTTTCAGTTTCAGATATGCTGTGTGCGTTCTTCCTTTCTGGTTTTCTGACTGCGGGCCTCGGCACATTTCGTTACCACGTTTTACTTTGTTCGCTCGAGGTGCCCTTTGAAGTTTTCTGTTCAGCTCTTTGACTTCGTCATTTCTTCCATTTGCCTTAGCTACTCGATGATTAAGAACACGCTTCAGAATCCCTTCTGACATCTACTTTGATCTTTTCTGTCTCTTTAATGACCTTTTTGCTTTCTTGTTGAATGTTCTTCTGTCTGCCCCCAGCTTATCAGGTCTGCTGTCGTCGGTGTTCATAGTGCCAGATCTGTTCTTGAAATTCAGGTGGGATATACTCACTGTCATATTTGGGCTCTTGTGGACTTGCTTTAGTTTACTTCAGCTTCAGTGTGAACTTACATAGGAACAGTTGATGGTTTGTTCTACAGTTGGCCACTGAGCCTGGTTTTATCACTGTTAATAAGCGTTTCCAGGGTTTCTTCCCACAGATGGTATCTCTTTGATTTCTTTGTATTCCATTTGGAGAAATCCATGTATATAGTTGCCCTTTGTGTTGTTAAAAAAGTATTTGCCTCTAAGACCCCAGACGTTGTAACTTTTGATAGCCAGCACCATCAGCTTTCTTCACCACATTTGCTTACGCACCCATTTTGTCTTCAGTGATCATGTCAGGAAGGTGAGCACACAGAATGCCAGATTGTTAGAACAAAGTGTTCTTGTGTTAAGGGAGTACTTGAGTGGGGGCCCAATGTCCATCTGCAACCTTAATTCTTAACATATAGATATGAGTACATAGTTCTAGTGCCCTCTCATTTTTTATTCATATATATATATATGCCTGTATTTAGGACTCTATAAATGCCCTTTGCCTCCTGGTGCTTTCCTCTATTTCCTTTTACTTTCCTCTTGTCCCACCATCATGTTCGGCCTTCATTTGGGTTTAGTAATTCTTTGCTGCTACATTGCCCTTGATTAAGCCCTAGTAGGCATCCTACAACCTTCCTTCCATTGATTTTAGTTCCCTTGTTCCTTTGCCCTTGGGTTGGTTTCTTCCCCTCCCTACCCCTTCACCTCTCTTCCTTTTCCCCATATCCCCCCAGAACCATTGGTCCTGTTCTTTCCGTCTCCGAATTATTTTTCCTGCCTATCTTATCTAGATAGACATGCAGATACTTTAATAAGTGCAAAAACCAGGCAAAGCCAAATCAGACAACAAAGGAAGTCAAAACCGAAAAAACAACAACAAAATAACAATAACAAAAAGAAAGCCACTGACAAAAATGGAAAAGCCTATAAATAGTTCAAGGTCTGTTTGATAAACAAGCGGACATCTAGCTCAGAAGCAACCAAGCCCCATTGAAGAAGCACACCAGCCTGTGTGATCATGAGGTGTCAGTGGGATTGGGTATCAGGCATCTAAGACTCAGAACAAAACCATACCCAAGGTGAATGGAGGGTGGTGGGGCATGGAGTAGAGACCCAATGCCCATCTGTATCCCCTCACAGAAGGGTCACAGGGAAGAGATGAGCCAGTCAGGGTGCGGTCTAGCACCGATAAAACACAGCTTTCTTCTAGTTCTTTGGTGCTTCCTTCCCCCAACTATCATGACCTCAATTCTACCTTACAAATTAGATTAGACCAGACATGCACACTGCTACAGATATGAGCCCCAAACACAGGGAATCCAGGATAGCTAAATCCCTCGGCCAACAATGAGAGTAGAGATATGGGGAAGGTGGGGGGAGAAAGGGAATCGATCACAAGGATCAACCTAGAACCCCCTCTTAGGGGGACGAATAATGGGAAAGTGGGTGAGGGGCGACGGGGGACAATGTAAGATAAGGAAATAATAATGAATAACTTATCAAAGGTTCATGAGGGAGGGGGAAGAAATGAGCTGATTATCAGGCTCAAGTGAGAAGAGAATGCTTAGCAAATGATGATGGCGGCATATGTGCAAATGTGCTTGACACTGGAGGAATGTATGGAGTGTGGTAAAAGATGTAAGAGCCTCCAATAAAAGTATTTTTTAAAGTATTTGCAGTGAAGAAGTCTTTGATCTTGCAAAATTATTTTTTCCCTTTATTTTTTAAAAACCATTTTATTGGGGGCTCATACAGCTCTTTTCACAATTGATACATACGTAATTGTGTCAAGCATGTTTGTACATTTGTTGCCATCATCATTTTCAAAACATTTTCTTTACTTGAGCTCTTGGTATCAGCTGATCTTGCAAAATTCTGTCTGGTGATCTCCAACTTCATTTCTATCACCAAGGCCATATTCGTCAACTCCCGTTCTTTGATGTTTCCAACTTTTGCCATCTCATCACTAAAAGTTATCAAAGCACTTGATGGTATGTGTGGTCAGTGTCAGACTGAACGTGTTGGTAGAATGCTTCAACATCTGCTTTGCCAGCTGTGGTAGTCAGTATACAAATTTGAATAGTAGTAGCATTGACTGGATTTCCGTGCCTGTAGCTAGCCATTATCCTATCCCGGACAGCATTGTACTTCAAGGTAGATCTGAAATAGCCCGTTTGACAAGAAATGGTTGCCTTTCCTCTTGCGCCTGTCAGAGTAAACCATGTGACTTTGTGAATCAGAATGGCCAATCCCAGGCCATCTCGCCTCACTAACACCCAGAATATTGATCTGTACCCGTTCCAGTTCTGTGTTGGAAATTTCTAATTTTCCTAGATTTATACTTCTATTCCAAGTTCCTATTATGAACTGATGTTTGCAGCTGTTTCTTCTCATTTTGAAGTTTGCCCCATCAACAAATGAGGATCCTGAAGGCTTTGTTTCCTGCCTGCTCATTCCACCCATGTCACTGGCCGCCTCTGCTTTGAGGAGGCAGCTCCTCCTCGGTCACCCTCGAGTTCCTTCCCACCAGAGGCGCTCTCTTCGGGCGCTTGCTCTGACAATGCTCTGCTTCTCTCCACGGGCTTTTCAGTATCTGCGACATAAACTGGAACGGAGTACATTAGCCAGCAGATCCCTCGGATGCTTCACTTCCCAAGCCTTTCTGTGTCTTACCGCCTGCACTGGGAAGATGGGGCTTTGAACTTTGCCAAGCATTTGCTTCCTGGATTTCTTGAAGAGAAGAGTGTATGCTAAGAAACTGCTGAAGGGATGCGCTGGTTACATGGTCCTCCAGGCTTTAAATAGCTACTTTTGTGATGACTGGTCAATGCAGTGAGTGAGGAGGGGGAAAGGATGCGTCCGTCACTGCTGGAAATGCACAAACTGACCGTTGACAAAATGACTCCCACGGTGCGGCTTCCCTGAGACTCATTTTCTAAATGAGCCTGTGAACGTCAACAAAGAATCAGATGATCATGTAGCCATTTCACAAAAGGTGAGGGGCCCTGGAATTCTGGATGGGCAGGTTACCGCTGATAAATACACACTTGGAGACAGTAAAGCTAAGTCCTACACTGGCATATTCATAGTCATTTTAAAAAGTAACTTCTCATTGCCACTTTTGGTTCACTTTAACTTTACTATAAGAAACTTGCATCAAACAGCCACTTAGAAATTTTTTTCATTTGTATCATTTGCTCCTGTAAAGATTCACAATCTTGGGAACCCCCCCCCAAAATAGTTCTATTCTGCCAGATTTGGTTATTATGAGTCAGAATTGACTCAAAAGAGCAGGTTTCCCCTTTTTTTTCTTCATTAAAATAATTCAAAACCCTCTGGTCCCCAGCCCCCTAAATACTGTGAGATAATACACATGTTCATAGGTCTCTGCTGGTATTTTATGTGGTTTTAATTTTTTTATTTATGTGTCTGTTTCCATTTTCCTACAAGGATTAATACAAAATAAAAAGTGGTGTTGACCAACATTGCCTCTTTTCATCCACATTTTATATACTTTGAGAATAAATACGACTCTATCATAACTATTTACAAACGAATTTATTAAAGCCCAGGTGTTTACGTACTGGCCAACAATGATGAGTGCTCGCTCTTGACGGCTGTGCTTCCTGAGAGGGCGGGGCTTCAAAAGGTTCATGGAGAATGAAAAAAAGTTTACCCCCTTGTGTAGTACATAAATGCCACCTGTTTCTTAAACCTTTGATTTTTCAAGAAAACGGAATACTCTCTGCTGGAGGTCATATGAATCCATCATGGCACTGGTGGGTGTTGGACTGCTAATCAGAAGGTGGCGGTTCAAACCCACCAGCCACTCTGTAGAAGAAAAATAAAGCTCTCTTCTCCCATAAGGATTTGCTGCCTCAGAAACCCCACACAGGCTCACGAAGAGTCAGGACTAACTCAATGGCAATACATTTTGGGGTGAAAAGTGGCATACTCTAAAATTCTGTAGGTGAGCACACTGGTTATATAGCCTGTGTTTTGGAGCTTTATCCTGTTCTGCATTTGTAAGAAAGAATAGATAGCCCTCTTTTTAAGACATTTTCCCCCCTGGTTTCAGTATTTTACAGCATTAAACTTCACGCACAGAATTGCCTAATCAGTCAATACTTCTTAAGTCAATAACTATGCTTTGGTGTTAGCAAATTAAGGTTTCATTTAATAGTACTATTAATTACAATTAAGCATTATTTGTATTGTTTTTTTTCCCCTCCATTAGATTTATAAAGTATATTTAGTTCTTTGTGGTTTTGTGACTGTTGGTTCCTTCCATGTATGACATCTTTACTATTAAGAAAGCAAATAGACACATTTGGGAATAAATGAGCTAGTCCAGAAACAAAAGACAACAGTGGCACCAGTCCGTGTTGGGTTGAGTTGTGCTTCTCCCTTCCCTGCTAATTTTTTCCCCAGACATGCGTCACCTGGCCTGTCCTCTGCGGCACCTCGGGTGAATTTGGTTTGTAGCCAAGCAGTAGCTGCCTGTTGTACTCAGGGCACCCATCCAGTTGCTATAGACAGTTGATTTCGACTCATGGTGACTTCCTGTGTGTGAGGAGAACTGTGCCCGTGCAAATCAGATGCTTTCGAATCTCGGCTTTTGTCTTGGTTGTTTCTTGGTAAATGTACAGAATAAATAGCTGTTTTAAAATGTTAACCCTTAGATAGCCTTGCATGCTTTTTTACTCATTTCCTCAAATGATAAATTTAATGTCATAAATGCTTTAATCTGTTTGGAGCTTTATGAAAACCAACTAACTTTCTCTTTCTTTAGATCAATATGAAAGATAATAGAAATGCCAAATACATTGAAAATCATATTTCAGCAAATGACTTGAGAGCTTTTGTCTTTGAAAGCCAAGAAGATATGGAGGTTTTCATGAGAGAGGCAAGTGCTGAGCAACGATACTCTCGGGTGCTTTTCTTTCGGCGCTTAAAGTTGTAACTTCACTAGAGCAAAATGTGAGATAAAAATTACAGCAATGAGCTCATCAGAATCACTCAGTTTTGTTTATTCTCTTTATATCATTATTGAGAAGTGAGTTTGCTTGGTCAGAGGAAAAGATAGCTCACTGAGGATATCTTTGAGTATTGTTCTCAAGTGCTCTCTTTTCTATTGGCTTTTATTATATGATTTTGCACCACGTAGTGATTTTTAGAGGTGCATGTGTTGCGATATAGCAATATCGATGGTTCTTTATATTGGAAAAATCTAGCAGTTTCCATCAACTAAATGGGAAAAGTTAACTCACCAACCTAGCAGATTCCACTATAAATAAGTGTCCCACATTCATTTTATCAGTGTAGACGTAATTTAATTTGATGTTTTATAATCCGTTACTATCATCCTTCATTTTAATATTCAAATTGCTCCATATTTGGCCCATGGATCTCCCACATGTGTCCCTTTTTCCCCCTCGAATATGATGTTTGGCTTTTCATTGAAAATTTGCATGGCAAATTCTTTTTCCACTAGTTTCTATGCAGATTAATGACATAGTTAATTTTTGTACTATAGCCGATAATCTAGGATAAGTAGTGTTATCAGCTTTTACACACACACCTCCCACCCCACCATTCCAGTACTACATCCCCTCTCCTGGTGTGTGGGCCCGGGCAGTATACCCGCTCCGAGAAGCAGCGCCGAGAGGAACTCCAAGAAGACGACTAGAGAAATTGAGAAGGATTTCCCCTAGCACAACCATCTTTCCTTCATGCGATGCCTTGATTTCAGGCTTCGAGCCCACCAAACTGTGAAATCACCACTTGTTTGTCAGCTCCTCATACCATCAGGATTACCTATGCTGGACTGGTTTCAGGAGTTTCCAGGCTTAAACAGACTGGGAGGGAAGGTCCTGGTGATATACTTGAGAGAAAAAAAGGACAAGGGAAACCTTTTGGACAGCCGCAGAGCACTGTCTGATACCCTACCAGAAGGAGAAGATGAGCCCTTGAGTTTGGAAAGTAGAATACCGGAAAGATTATCTCTAGGAAAAATTTTTTATGGCTTTATTATTGTCATGGTGCTCTGGGATTCTAATAATTTTAATTTAAGAATTCTGAATCAAATCCCATATTTCCTTTTGGGCTTGTTTCTGTTTTTCTTGTTTTTCTACTGAGATTTGCTAAATTTGGTCACTTGTTTGACATTCAGACTCTCATTTTGTTCCTCTTTTTGTTTCCTAACATCCACTTTTATGTTTTCAGTCTACTTTTTTCCTTCTTTAAACATATTTACCGTGGTAGTCTGAAATTAAGTTTTTTTCATTCTTCTGATTTCCACAGAAGAAATTTCTTCTTTATATTTTGCTTGTGACTGACCCTTGTTTTTTAGTGATTTTGTGTGTTTTACTCATTGTTGTTGAACTTGCGCCATTTTGTCCTTTTTTTCCCTTTTGATTTTGTATTCTTGTTTTTGTGGGAAATTTTTCCGAGTGGACGCGCGCTGGTGATAGGAGCCAGGTGTTTGGTTGCCTATTGAGAGATCAAGGCCCACATCCATCAAGCTTCTCAGTGGAGCAAAGATACAGCGATTTGCCTTCACAGAGACGCATCGCTCCTGAAACCCGTGGAGCAGAAGCACGGGCCGTGACGAGTCAGCCCTGAGTCGGCAATGTAGGCTTGACGGCTCCTCCTGGGGACCATTAGAGGACACTCTTATCCTGGGGTTTGGCTCACTACTCATTCAGGAATGGTGGATGCTTGCTCTTTTGTATTCAGTGTACATGCATGGAAGAGGGCTTAGCTGCACACAGGTGTTGATGTATGTATGTGGTGGGATGCAGTGTTCCTGTTACGGAGGTAGACAATCCTCTGTGGCTCTAACTCATGGGCACCCATGCCCAAGCTTTCCCATGGTGTTCTGTTGTAGACTGTTTCCCCTATGTTTTCCCCACCAGTCCTTCCTGTTTCTCATGGTCCTAGTGCCCACTGCTCTTGGACCTCAGTGAGATTCATCTTCATGGTGTCCCACACCACAGTCTCCCTTCACTCCTACCATTGACTTCGTCCTTGAACTCCCCTAGCCACTTTGCATTGGCTTTAAAAATCCTGGGTTATAGTGACCTTAGATTAGCTCCTTTCCGGTGTGCCCCATCCTATCCCAAAATGGCTGTGATAGCTAGCCATTCAGATGGTACCAGGTATGTTCTCCCAACATATTTACCATCCCTGCTCCTCCACCGTGGCTTCTGGACTCACCCTGACTCTCCAGGTCCTCGGCTGCCATCCAAAGTTCTGAGAGTTGTCTGTGCTTGTGTTCCTTTGTTGTTCAGTGGGTTCATTGCTGGGGGAGTGAATGGGAACCTCCATCCACTTCACCATCTTGCTCTGCCTTCCTTTGTGCCCTTTCCGTGAGTTGCTGTCATATTTTGAGCACTTCCTTTTCGTCACAGCGAGAGGTTTCTCCTGTCTCAGCATTACAGCAGCCTTTCCCCAAGGAAGCCGCGATGCTTTGAGAAACCGAGATCCAGCTCCACTGTTGTTGGCGCATCGCAGTGCTTCAGAGTCCTCAGAGGAACACCGGAACCTGTATTTCTGTAGCCGAGAAAGAGCGAGCGCCTGGTGCGCATGTTCACACAGATCGTTCCCAGTAGAAGCTGACACTGAACATCTTGTCTCCTGTGAATATTTGTAGCTCTCTCTTCAGCATTAGAAACAAGGCCGTCCTATCATCTACTTACTCACGTGCACAAACTTAGAACGTGCTGACGGGCTTTCAGAAGGGATGTACCCCAAGCCCCTGTGAAATACAACGATAACACTTGAGCTCATGGGGTGTCTTCACAGGGTTAAAGCGCCTGGTGGGCTTTGACAACCTCACGCGTCTGTCAATACGTAGAACATTTTCATGACCCTGAAGAATTTCCTCATGCCCCTTCCCAGTCAGTTCCCCCCGCCCCTTAATTACTTTGCTGGTTTTCATTCCCTCCCAATCTTTGTACAAATGAGTCTGTCCTTTTGCGCTCTCCAACGTTGTCACAATTCAGCACTCACATTCTAGCCCATGTGTACTGATAAGCCCTTCATTTGAGCCGTTCTAGTAGGTGTGCTGCAATATTTCTTTATTTTAATTTTTGTTTCTATAATGACTAATTGAACACTTCTATGTGTTTATTATCCATTCATATCTTTTCGTCCTTTGCAAGCATTTAAGTCATGCCCATTTAAAAAAAGTATTGTGGTAAAACATGTATGACAAGACATTTGCTCTTTTAGACCATTTTTATGTGTATAATTCAGTGGTACGAATTAGGTTCACTAAATTGTGCAAATGTCACCACTGTGCATTTCCAAATATTTTTCATCAGTCTCAACTCAGTACCTCTTCAGCAGTGACTCCCCAATTATCCCCCTACCTATCTCTGGAAACCACTAATAAACTTTGCTCTTCATGTGTCACTTATGTTTCATATAACCAAATTCATACAGTGTTTATTCTTTTAACTTGCTTCATTCCGTGTCATGTTACATCCATGTCATTTCAAGTATCAAATTTATTTTTTTTAAGGCTGAGTAATGCTCCACTGTCTGTACATTTCACACTTTGTTTGCACATCATCTCTTTCTCTGTGTGGTGTTCTTGGTTGGATGCCCGACGTTTGTTTCTTTCAACTGTAAATGTTATTCCGCTGCCTTCCTGAGGCTGATAGCAGCACTTCTTCTTACTGGGATCCTTTATTGTGGCTGTTTTCTCTCTCCCCACGTTCAGGGTTTCCTCTTTCCCTGTGGCTTTTAAGTGTGATTATGTCTTGGTGTGACTCTCTAGGGGTAATTTATCCTACTTGGAATTCATTGAGTCCTTGGATTGGTAAATCTGTGCTCTTTGTCAAATCAGCCACCCCTGCAGTGGACACTGCCCTCATTAAGATCTGCACTCACTTCGTTATTGCCTTTCATTTGTTGCTGAATTCACCGAGTCAAAAGCAGAAATAACTCAGGCCACCAAGAATTTGTGTAGGAGTTTGTATGCAGATTCGGGAGCTGCTCATTCTGTAGCTCCCACCTGAAGTCTTCCTTAACATGTTGCAGACATTGTGGGTACCCCAGACTCATTATGTGTATGACTGCTTTCGTCGGGAAGTCAGCCATTGTCTGCATTAATTCCTCCAGAGAGGGACTTTCTTCAAGGTGGTAACCACATACATAAGAGCATCACACCTGTGGTTCCCGTCCTCTCTCCATGTTAGCTTTTCTGTAGCTTCGGTCTCGGGTCCCTCTCCGATGCCTTCCAATCCTTTTTTTTTTTTTTTTTTGCCCAGTGTCCATAATCACTATTTGCCACAATGGTAGATCAAGACACGATAATATAGTACTAGTGGAAGCAGAATTACTCCTCATCTGTATTATTTTGAAACAAATCCTAGACATAGTATTTTGTCTGAGACTATTTCAGTCTGTATCTCTAAAAGAATTGGAATCTCTAAAGCCACTATTTACAATATCATAATCATAAAGAAATAGTCCTAAGTCCCATTAAATATCCCATCAGCATTCAGATTTATTGTCATCTTTGAATGTTAGTGGAATTGTGTAACTTTAAACACAATTAAATTGAAAGCGTACGATAGTTAAAATAAGATTTCCCCTTCTCTTTAGGTTCGTGACAATAAAAAATTAAGAGTCAATGCTGTTATTGCTCCCAATAGTTCATATGCAGAGAAAGCACCTTCAAGGTCTCTGAACGAACTAAGGTGAGTCTTGAAAAGTTTATTAGAAAAACAAAACAAAACAAAAAGAAATGTTTATTAGAAATACCCTGTTGCTTGCAATATTGACTAATTGTTGATTTAATTTTTTTTTCTTATTATCTCTTTTTCACATATATGTGTTTGTTAAAGGCTCTTGTGTCCCCTCCTGGGGTTTGTACTTCACTCTAAATTAGGTGACGCTCTAGGCCCAGGGACAGCTTATGATATGTGCAGTATGTAGCAGAGGTCATGTTTCACATCAGTAGAGCTGTTTGACAAGAGACGCTAAAACAATTGATTAGTTATTAGGAAAGTAAAATGGTAACCATGGCTTCCTAGTGTAAAAATGACTCCCAGAAGGGCTAAATATCAGTTTGCGATTGTAAAATGGCTCTACATCATAGTTCCTAAAACATATTTGGCCTGCTGCCCCCATTTCAGAGAAAAATTACTCAGCGCCCCCTGGCAGTTGAAACTTGTACTGTAGCTCATGATCCAGGATGAAGTATAGGTAACTGCGTTTGCTGTGCCCCAGAGCAGTGGTTCTCTACCTTTCTAACGCCGCGACCCTTTCATACAGTTCCTCGTGTGGTGGTGACCCCCAGCCATAAAATTATTTCCGTTGCTACTTCTTGACTGTCATTTTGCTACTGTTACAAATCGTCATGTAAATATCTGATATGCAGGATGTATTTTCATTGTTACAAATTGAACGTAATTAAAGCACAGTGATGAATCACAAAAACAATGTTGTTATATATTGTGAAAGATTTATTTCTAATGACAAATCAATGAAATTTTGTCTTGAAGCATGGTGTAGCATGGGTAACAGTCTTCATGCCGGGAGTACTCATGTGGGCGTATCTGCATGTGGGCAGACCCTCCTGGAGATGGATCAAGGAGCGGTGTCTCGGTTCATGAGACCATTGGAAAGATGTTTTCTGATGGTCTTAGGTGACCCCTGTGAAAGGGTTGTTTGACCCTCAAAGGGGTCACAACCCAAAAGTTGAGAACCGCTGCCCTAGATTATTCCAGTACCGCCCAGGGGGAAGCATTGCCCATTTTGGGAAACACTGCTATAAATGGTTTTCTAAGAATAAAAGTAGTAGAAGAACTCCCTCCCCCCCGCCTCTCCCACAAAAAAAAAAAAAAAATTACTAGTTTTTAACTCATAAAAATCATGAAGTGTTCTTAAAAGAAAGTAATCAATAGTAAGTGATTTTTTAAAAGAAATTAAAACTTCCTATATTATCAAGCAGTATATATATTTTTATTTATTGGCCACTTGCCAATGATTAGATTTTTAAACAATATATATATTTTAAAAATCATTTTATTAGGGGCTCATACAACTCTTATCACAATCCATACATACATCAATTGTGTAAAGCACATTTGTGCATTCATTGCCTTCATCATTCTCAAAACATTTGCTCTCCACTTAAGCCCCTAGCATCAGCTCCTCATTTTTGCCCCTCCCTCCCCACTCCCTCCTTCCTCATGAACCCTTGATAATTTATAAATTATTATTTTGCCTTATCTTGCACTGTCCGATGTCTCCCTTCATCCACTAAACAATATATTTTAAGGAGATTGTAATAAGTACTTCTTTCTCTCAGACAATATGGATTTTTCTCTTATTTGCGAGAGTTATTTGATGCACCTGATCCTGTGATGAGTTACCTTTGTTGCCAGTATAATATTCATGAAGTTCCTGTTGGAACTGACAGGACCAGAGAAAAAATTGAACGGGTAAGATACTATTGTGTTTTTACCAAAAACATAATTTCACTAAAACTTCTTGGCTTAAAATTAAGCAAAACTGTCTGAAATTTAAATAAGTGTATTATTTTGTTTTTACGTATGTACGAATTATCTTTTATGTTTTTAATGGCAAAAGCAGTGACTTTGGGCTAATATTTTATGTTAATAGTAATGTGACTAACTAGAGGCAGTACTGTAAGTTCTTCTTGGAGAAGGACGTCATGCATGGTAAAGCAGAGGGGCAGCAAAAAAGAGGTAGCCCCTACACACTGGGTGACACAGTGGCTTCAGCGAGGAGCAGGGGGAGCCTAGGAACAGGGGTGAGGACGGCACAGCCCCAGGCAGCGTTCCCTTCTCTTGTGCCAGGGCCGCTGTGGGTCGGAACCCACTCAAGGGCGCCTCCAACAACGGAGCTTCAGATTAATTGCCTGAGGTTCGAGCCCCAACAACAACACTGGACGTTGTAACTGATGAAACTTGTATTCATGCCTTCTATTAGTGGTTTCGTGTTTTTACGTTCTGATATTCTAAATTATCTTCCTAAATTTACTGTAGATCTGGATCTAGAACTGCTAGGTAGAGCCCGCCCCTTGAAGATTTCCTCTACAGCTGTCCCGTATACCTCATCCAGGCCTTCTCCTTATTCCGTGTTCAGGGTTTCTGGATGCCGCCTGATGCCCTGTTAACTGGATTTAAATATGTTTCATCTCTTTACTATAAACCTCAGGAAGGAAATGAGCCAGAAAAGTACTGATTATGAAAATGTAGCCATCAGAAAAGCCTGAATCCCAGCCTACTGTTCTTTATCAATATAGAAAACTTTGCGTAATGTTGTGTTTAGAATATTGTTTAGGCTTTTAAAACTCCTGATATATATATTGCTGAGAGAATGAAGAGCTCAAGGAAAAGTTTGAAATTATTTGAGGTCCTATAAAAATGCAGGTTTTTTGTTAAGTATTCTCTCAAATATACTGGAGCTAAGTATATGGCTGTGTGTCTTTGAACAGTATAACTGAGGGAGAGAGCCTCAATGACTCCCATGGGATAGTGCAGTTACAACCACTGCGCACTGTAGCTCCCAGGAGGCCTTATTTAAACAAAAGGAAAGTACAGCCGTTGGACTTTCTCATTGCTCTGCACATGTCCTTATTCTCTCCTACTTGGTGTTGTTTTCCAAAATAATAACCTGAAGTGATGTGATCTGCTGCTATGCTAGAGTGTAGGGGGTAGGTTTTTAAAAAAGAAATCAAATATAACTAATATTTTTATTTTCTATAATTTACCCCATCTGTTTTTTTAATTCATTCATTAAAACATAATCATAATTGTCTTGGGATGTGCACTAATGTGCATTGTACATTGTAGGTCATCAAAGAAACCCGATTAAAACAAATTTACACGGCAGAAGAAAGGTATGTGGTGAAAACCTCCGTGTACTCCAACAAAGTGATCTCTTGTAACACCTCCCTGAAAGTAGCCCAGTTCCTCACTGTGACCGTGGATTTAGAGCAAAGAAGGCAGCTGGAAGAACAGCTGAAGGTTGGTTCTTCTAATTTGAGGCTTAGAAAGTAATATGAACTGGATTTATAATATTGTCAACCAGCCCCCTGTAACAGAAGTTAACAATTTGAATCTTCCGTAGGAAATTCACAGGAAAGTACACGCCGTGGACTCCGGATTGATGGCCTTACGTGAGACCAACAAGCAGCTAGAACACAGGGACAATGAGCTTAGACAAAAGAAGAAGGAGCTTCTTGAAAGGAAAACAAAGAAAAGACAACTGGAACAAAAGATTAGTTCCAAGCTGGGAAGGTACGCCGCTGCGTGTTTGCGGGAGCGCACGGAGTTTGATGGGGGTGATGCTTAGCCCTGGAAGAGCAACGCAGCTTCTACTCTTTTATACTAATTGCTCTAAAGCTTTATTCCTGCCACTTAGAAAAATCAGTCCCCAGGTAAAGGGTCTATGTCTTTAAGCTTTTCCGTTATTATGGTCCCAAGACCCAATTGGAGAAGCCCTAGTGGCATAGAGGGTTTTGCATTGGTCAGCAGTTCAAAACCACCAGCCATTCCAAGCGAGAAAGACTAGGTTTTCTACTCTCAGAGTCTCGGGCCCCACAGGGGCAGTTTTGCCCTGTCCTGTGGGTTACTACGAGTTGGAATTGTCTCAATGGCAGTGAGTTGGGCTTTTTAAAAACCTAATTACATGGTTAAAAATTGAGGACCCTTGACATACTGCTTATATGGGTTCTGTCGATATTTACCCCATTTAAAATAGAAACATGTTAAAAGTATTTAAAATAATAAACCCAATATGTGTCAACTGTTTTTAAATAAAAATATCTCTAAAACAAATAAATTTACTATAAGAATAGCATTATTATCTATTTCTGCAAATTTTATTAATATCTGGTTTAAAGGAAGATGGCTAGATTTTTTTTTTAATCATTTTATTAGGGGCTCATACAACTCTTATCACAATCCATACACACATCAATTGTGTAAAGCACATTTGTACATTCATTGCCCTCATCATCCTCAAAACATTTCCTCTCCACTTAAGCCCCCAGCATTAGGTCCTCATTCTTCCCCTCCCTCCTGCGATGGCTAGATTCTTATCTCTGCTTTGGCCGTTAGTCTGTTGTGAGATGTTGCTTTGGTTGAAGTATGCAAAGAAAATCTGATCTTACGTGAACATGGAGTTGAAGAAAGGAGAGGTGCTTTAATCGCCTGTCAGATCAGTGGGGTATTCTTTCATCCTACATCAAAATTTGACAGCGTAGGAGACCTTCCAGGTTAATTACCACGTGAAGTCTAAAACCATTATCAGGAACTTGTGTATTCGTGCATGAAGATCCATTACGCTGTAAATAGACCTTTGACCATAAGTGATTCTGTTACACCATGCCGCACTGATCAGAGGGAAATGACTGCAAGTGTGGCGTTGAGCCCTGAGGTCAGCTGCTTCTCAGGAACATGAGGCTGCGTCTCCACGTAAAGCCGAACAGCTTTGGGACCTGACTCAGCTCGATGCAGTGAGTTTCACCTTGTTACTTAAGTCACACACACCTTTTCACTGCTGGCGCACTTCAGACTACACATATATTGATAGCCAGTCTCTTTAAGAAGGGCCTTTAAAGAACTGATTCTTGTGGACAGGGAGTTCTATAGACTTTTCTAAGCCTCGAGTTTCTTTCTTTTGCTTTTGCTCCAGGCAAGTAGCTACCAATAGTTGTATCTTAGATGGCTGCTCACATTAAAACCTCCAGATGTTAGTCACTGTATTAGGATGTAAAACATAGACTTTCTGAACTGTATTCTGCTAACTGATCAGGTTGTCCCTGGAGGTGATTATGTCTAAGAATGATCCATTTCTCTGGCCGCCCTTTTTGTTTTATTACATGAGGGTAATTCAGAACATATTGCGACCAGGGTTCCAAATCATTCATGCAAGGGCATTTTTAGTTCCAAATAAAACATGCTAAGCCCATCTCTGCCATATCATCAGCAGGATTGCTGGTAGCTCTGTAGGGTAGGCATTGGATTGCCAGCCACAAGGTCGGTGATTGCTCCTCGGGGGAATGACCAGGCTGTTAACCACCCTAGGAAATCCCCTGGAGCTTCCCTAACTGTCCTTCAGGGTGGCGATGAGCCAAGAGAGACATAGACTCAAGAAACTGGGTGAAGTCCAGAAGTTGGTAGAAGCCATAGAGTTCTCATTAATGGGTTAGATACTGAAGGTGGCATTTTACGAGGTTTGGCATTTTCAATCTTAAGTAAACATCTTGACCTCCACAAGCTTTTGGCCCAAAAGGGTTGCGCAAAAATCACCTAACTCTAAGAACTGATTTTTTTCAGCAATATTTTAAGCAAGATCTGAGCTTATGAAGATTTTATGGATTAAATCATAACCCAAACTGAGCCCTGGGTTTACCACTATCGTCCAGAGAGCAAGATCTAAGTCAAACAGTGGCTTCCAAGGCCTTTTTCTGGGCCAGGGGACTTCAAGGAAGAGTTTTTAACTCAGGAGTGTATAGTGATAGTGATTGATTTTGGGAACTCCAAAGAGATAATCTTCATAGACATCCTGAAAGGATAGAGGAGCTATTTACAAAGAACTTTAAAGAAACTGGAAAATTGCGCTGGTGAAGCCAAAGGCTAGGAAAGTGGTGCTGAAGAACATTTCCTATCGCAGCAATGCGCACCTGCTCTTTCAGGGGTAGCACGCTCTGAAACTCCCTACGAAACCTGACCCTTGATCTTGCCCTTTCCAACTCGCTTCTGGAACTCCAAGAACATTAAAATGGAACATGATGTGAGTTCCCAAGAATGCCCCAATTGCCATTGTGATGTGGTCTAAATTGAAAGGAGCAGAATTCTTCAGGGAGAGGTAGAAACCCACCTTCAGAAGTGTACAGACATAGTCGGAGGATATGAAAAGAAACAGTATCTTCACATTTTGATATTTCTGTTTAATAGCGGTTTCTGTGACTTTGTAGCAATCCCTTTTGACTTGACTTTGTATATTCTTGGAGCCATTCAGCTATTTTAGTTTTCATTTTCTTCATCCCCTCTACTCATTGGTATATAAAGTATCTTTGATTCTTGCCATGAAGTAACCTTTACGTCCATTCCCAGCCCCTGCAGTTAATTCATTTTGTATAATGAATTGTATACAGGGGTGACCTCCGAGTCTCCTCATCCACAACACTGTGGCTAAGTTTATGTTCTTTTCTGATTCATTCTCCATTAAAGAATATTGTCAGTACCTGAAATTGAGTAAGACACTGCTCTTCCTTAGAGTGACTTTCAAGGTCTTCAGTCTTGTCTTCCTCTGCCCATTCCAGCTTCTTTCTTTACGCTCTTCCTTCACCCTTTCTTCCTTGTTCCAGGCAAGTCGCTCTCTCTACATAACGTCACTGGACTTCTGCCTCCTGGTTTGTTACTGCTCCCCCCCTCACCCCCCTCCTGTGCGCTTGCTTCCCCCTGACATTACCCTCGTGCAGTAGAACGAGCAAGGCCTGTAGTGTTAGACACATCTGCCACTTCATATTAACTTGTAGAATTGTACTATCATTTTATTTTGTTTCCTTAACTATTAATCAGATCTCCCCAGCTAAGCTACTTTAGTTCAATGAATGTGTTTTCTAATAATATCAATAACCACAGTAATAGCTAATGGTTATTAATTAGTTATGGTCCAGGCACTGTCCAAAGTGTGTTACATGGACTGTCTTTTTGAGTCTGCACCAGAGCCCCGAGAGGGAAGCCTGTTGGAATCAGTTCCTAGATGAGGGGGAAGCTCTCACGAGTAAGACAGAGTTGGACTTATAATGAATGCTTGTTACTGCACAGAGGGAACTCAAGGCCATTTTTCTGATTCCAGGTCCCTACACCGTTAGTAGTGGCATGACCAAGACTGTGCTGAGCACGTAGTATAGTCCAACAAATACTTTTTATGTTGACAGGTTGCATAAAATGATTATTTAATGTGGGAGCTAACATTTGTACATCTGAGAAGTATTGCTAAAGGGTCCATAAAACTGAAAGTAGCCAAAGGATTTTGTCCAGTCTTTGTGTTTAACTATGATTTCTAAATCATCTTGTTTTTTGTCTAGTTTAAGACTGATGGAACAGGATACTTGCAACCTTGAAGAGGAAGAACGGAAAGCAAGTGCCAAAATCAAGGAAATAAATGTCCAGAAAGCAAAAGTTGTTACTGAATTGACAAACTTAATAAAGGTACGGTACTTAAAATATTTATTTATTTGTTTAATAGAAAGTAAACTAGACAAGATAGTAAAATCTTTAGAGTGTGTGTTAGGCTGGGTATATTAGAGACAAATCCAGAGACCCTCATATATGTGTATAAGACCTTTATATCAAGAGGTCATTATATATGAAGAAAACATCCCAGCCCAGTCCAAATCGAGTCATATGTCCAATACTAGTCCATAAGTCCCTCTTCAGACTCAGGAAGCCGCAGTGCAGTGATGCCAGGTGCAGGAACATCACCAGCCAGTGGGGGCAAAATCCCATGGCTCCAATGGCGGTGGATCTGGCAGCTCTCCGAGAGACTGGCTAGCAGGCGGGTGAAGGCAGAGAGAGTGGGGGAGGTTCTCAGGACCCTCGTTGAGGACACGCCCACCAGGAGGCACCATCAGCTGTGACCTGATTGACACGCTAGACCCCGCCCTACACATCTACTTTGTGTGAGAAGTCTGCATTTATTGTCCCTACACATTTATATCTTCAAGTTGACATGAAGTTATGTCACTACCGCAGAGAGCTTGGTTAGTGAGGGTCTCAAGATGTTTGACAGTTTACTTATAGAAGAAGAGATGTTTATCAACAGTTTCAGCTTGCTTTATTATTTGAAATCACCTGCTATGGGTTAATGAATAGGTGAAAAGTATACATTAAGCTAAATAGTTAAAGATGACCGCATACACTGCTAAACGCTTTTGAAAACTCTCTTGTAGAAAAAGAGTTCACTAAAAGAACTATTGAAAAATGTCATCCAGAACCTTAGAAGAATGATATTTGTTTCATGGCTCATAAGTCTGGTAAAAACATCGTTGTTCTCTCTTCTAAAGCATCAGTGGCAGAAAAACTGAACTCTTGGAACTTTTATTCCTAGATTTGTGCTTCTTTGCATATGCAAAAGGTAGACTTAATTCTGCAAAATACCACAGCCATCTCGGAGAAGAACAAATTAGAATCAGATTATATGGCAACGTCTTCACAATTGCGTATCACAGAGGTGAGATTCTAACCTTAAACCAGTTTGAAGGAGCATATTATGCAAAGATGCTTAAAATATGTAATTTGTTGTTTTGGGTGATTTAGTATGCAAATTTAATGTATCTTGCTGATGAGGAAACAATACTTGAGCCATCTTGTACTGTGTATTTCATGCTGTCTGAGATAGTTTTAATGCTGTCTGAGATAGTTTATTGTGCCAGCCTGGCCGATAAACACAAGTGGGATTAACTGAAGGGCGGAGAGATAAATGGCTCGGTGAGCCTCGCCTTTCTTGTCTCTCGCTCTTTGATTATCGGACCAGTGTGCGGCTGCCTTCCTTGTTCTGTGCCTCAATTTACAGGCTACACTACCTTGTGGGACGCCTAGCCTGTGGACTGTGTCTCTGTAGCTTGAGGTCCCTTTAAGACATCTCTGGAGCTGGGGACTAACGGTTGGTGACCTGGCTGACAGTTGGTGACCTGGCTTGCAGTTGGCTGCTGTGCTGAGATAGCCTAGCTCTCAGACTTGAAGGACTGCTAGTGTCTCACTACTCTCTCACGGGAGTGAGGTGCACTAAGCCATTTGTACTGCTTTATAATTTAACTGTTCATTTCTTGTATTATATATCTTTCTATCTGTATATAATTTAACAGTTCATTTCTTGTGTTATATAGCTAACTATCTTTATAAACAAATATATAAGATTATTGGCAATCTGGTTTTATCTCTCCAGAGAACCCTGTCCAGCATGCTGTCTAATGGGGGTGCTTTTAATAACAAAAAGGGAGAAATCGGTATCCAATACAGCTACTGAAAGCCAATCACTTGTCTGCTTCCTTAACCCATATAAACTAGTCCTATTGCCAAATAGCAACTCGTAGCTTTAATTACAGTTTTATACCCCAAAAAGCAAATTGCACATGGTTCTAAACATGTTTAAAATCTGTTTAGCTTGTTTTTTTCTTCTATAAATGTGAAGTGGTGGTAAACATTGAAGTCTATAAGGGGAAATGTGATGTACTAAATGAACTTAAAACTTAAAAGAACCTGACAGCGTCCCTGCTCTTTAATTTCCCTAAATCCTTTCCCCCAAATAGGAGAGTAACGAGAATGATCTAGTTGCTGCTGCCACATTCAAACCCTGGCTAGCATGTACATCAAAACAGTTTCAGTTACTGGCGATGAGTGAATGACATGATACGTGTTGAGTGGCAAATGTTTGTTACCTATACCACCATTTTTAAAAAGGGATCGAAAAAGTAGAGGCTTAAAAGACTTGAACAAAACGCAAACAGAAACGTTGAGTTGCAGTATATCCTTGTGAACTCCAAAATACAAGTCGTTAGAGAAAGCCACACCCGCGGCAGCAGCAAGCCCGGGATGCACGGTCGGCAAGTGTGGCAAGAACAGGCGCGTGGTGGCTTGGTCGGTTGTTAGGCCCATCACGTTGGTTCCAGCTTCTGCCCAGTCCTGTGCCGGCCTCACAGTGGTTAGTGTTGGCGCCGCTGTGTGAATCTCTGCCCTTGACGGCCTTCCTCTTTTCCCTGACCCTCTGCTTTACCAAGCATGATGGTCTTTTCTAGACTACCTCTTGTCTGCAGAATGAAGTCTTCTGAAATTCTGTCCTTCACAGTGTTACTCATCATTCGTTAGCGCTACATCGTTCTGGTGTTCTCTACTTTCACCCGAGAGCTGTCTGAGATGGAAACAATGAGATCCTTCATTCCAAGTTCTCAGCTGAATCCAGCTTGAATTTCCAGCAGTTTCTTGTCACTGTACTGCTGTAAGCATTTTTTAAATTATGTTCAGCAAAATTGTACTTGCATGTGATTGGTGACCAAACTCACTGCTGTTCAGTGTATTTGAATTCATAGTGACCCCATAGCACAGGGTAGAATTGCTCCTGTGGGTTTCCGAGACTGTCTCTTTCCCAGCGGAGAAAACCTCATCTTCCTCTCTGGTGGTTTCAAACTGCAGACCTTGTGGTTACGAGCCCAATGTGTAACTACTTCGCCACCAGGGCTGCTGGGGTTAGTGGTGGTGGTCTGTAATTTCTGTGTTCTGTAGGACTGCCTGTCAGATTTCTTGGTATAGACAGGTAAGTGCTTCTAGCACTGCCTCCGTTTCTGAAACATTTCCATTGGTATTTCTGTCCGTTTCTGGATATTTCATTTTACTGATGTCTTCTGTGTCGCTTGGACTTCCTCTTGTTTCAATGCCACCAATTCTTAATAATATGCTTCCTCTTGAAATGGTTGAACATTGACCAGTTCTTTTTGGTACAGTGACTCTGTGTATTTTTCCCATCTTCTTGTGATGCTTTCTGCATTGTTCAATATCTTCCCATAAATTCTTTCAGTGTTTCTTCCGACATCCACTTTAGTCTTTTATTTCCTTTCTTTTTAGTGACCTTTTGCTTTCTTCATGCATAATGCTGTTGACATCATCCTACAACTCTTCCGGTCTTCTTTCAAGAGTGTCCGATGTACCGAATCGATTGAGATGTTCTCTGAATTCAGAGTTTTACTCAAGGTTGAATTTTGGCTCTTTGGGGCGTAGGAGCCAACCTGAAGAAACTCCTACTGACCAAAGATGGACTGGAACACACCTTCCTAAAAAGTCTAAATCCATGGTTTGATGATGGTAGGTTGTGTGTGTGTGTTAATTGAAAGATGTCAGGGTCACCAACTCGTTATTTTAAGAAAAGATCAACAATCTAGGATGGCTGCTGCCTTTGCCGGGTGGACAAAGATGCTGGGATGCTAACGAAGGAAGAAAGCCTGATCGCTTCAGAGTAGCGCCACTTGACAACTGCGCCTGAGCCTGTGAATCACGTCCTGATCGATGCTTACCAACCCCACCTGTCAGTTAGTTTTACCATAAAATTATATTTCAGTCTGATTCAGCCCCCTCCTAGAACAGGCTTTCTCTGCCTCAACATGATTGACACTTGGGACTAGCTCGTACTTTTGTGTAGGGGCTATCCTGCCTTTGTAGAGGTATAACCACATCTCTGGCGTCACCAGATGAAGACATTACAAGAGAAGAAAACTATAGAACCAGAATCTCTCGAGATGATAAGTAAACATCTTTTAAAGAATGTTAGCAAGTTCACATTTGGTCAGTCTGTCCTGCTTCCTCAGTTCCTGACCCTCTGCCGAACAGGACAGCCTTTTCTAGCCATTAGTCTTTTCCTAATGAAGCGTACTTTAACGACGTGTCACCATCTTCACTTCTTAGGAACGTTCTCATTGAATTTCTTCTAAGACTAATTGCGTGGTTCTCTGTAGTGCAGTGTTCTGAGCCAACACCACCACTTCCTCTGTGTATGTCTCTTGTCCGGCTCTCACATGCACTTGCGGAAACAGAAAAGGCTGGTTTAGATCAGGTACACCGGGGACGTCAAAGTGATGTCTTGGCTTTTTTAATGCCTTGAAGAAAGCTTTCGCAGCAGATTTTCCTGATGCAGTGTTTGGTTTCTTGCCTTCTAGTTCCATGGCATTGATTGTGACAACTTCAGTTTCTGCACCATTTACTATGATAGAGTCTATTGGAACAGTTGTGAGAATTTTTCTCAAAGCACATGGAAGAATGCTCCACCGTATCAGACCTTGTGACAGCTACTTAAGACATGAGGTGTCTTTATCAGTCAGTACAAATCCAATGCCATGGGGTTTGGTCCAGCTCACAGCGCCCTTCTGTAGGATCTCCAAGGCTATAGCTCTTTATGGGAGCAGTTAGCCTCATCTTTCTCCTGCTGAATGACTGGTGGACTTGAACCACCGACCTTGCAGTTAGCAGTCCAACTCTTACCAGACTGTGCCATTGGGGTTCTTTTTATTAGTCAGTAGGGAAATGAAAATTAAAACCATAATGAGATACCACAAATTAAACCATAATGAGACCCACTGTGGTGGGTGCGATCTAAAAAGACTAATCATAACAAAGTGCAGGTGATGTGGAACCACTGCCACTGTCATGCACTGCTGGTGGAATTTAAAGTGTGCAGTCACTTTTTTGAGAGAAAAACGTGACTGTGTCCTAAGGGCTAAACCTGGACCTGCTGTACGATCCAGCCATCCCTCTCCTAGTGTTCACCCAAGAGAAATGGAAAAATATCTATGTCCCTATGTGTGGCAGCTTTCTTTGTAATAACTGAAAATCCGGAAACAAACATCCACTCTAAGTATCTGTTAAGAGCTGGATGGGTAAATAACTTGTAGTTTATCGAAGCAATGGAATACTACTCAGGCATAAAAATGAATTGCTGCTGATACATGCAACAACATGAATGAATCTCAGAGTAATTATCCTGAGTGGGAAATAGCAGACAAAACAA